TTATTACAAAAATACCTGACCCCATCAAATTGCAAAGATTTATCAGCTCCCATACTAAATCCTGAGATCAAGGCGGCTACTCCAGACTATATTGTTAAACGGGATAGATCGATAGAGATTAATCAAAAACAAATCGCAGCCGCAATCACATGTCTTGGTAATATAATGAGTACGCAAATTACGAGCAGCGGAAGGGATAGTGAATTATTAAAGAGCCTAATGGACGCCAGTCGTATCTTGTGCGATGTCCAGCATATGCAATCAAAGGCACGTCGTGCTTATGCACTCTATTCTTTAAAAAAAGATTTAAAAGAACAATTAAACAATACTAAAATTGACCGATTTTTGTTCGGACAAGATTTGGCGGAAACCATTAAGACTGCAAAAGCTGTTTCGAGATCGTCCATTGACTTAAAAGTAGAAATTAGAAGGAGACCAAAACAGAGCAGGAATTTAAACCAAAAGCCGGGTCCCGGGAGTCGCAGGGCGGCGCCGGGTCCTCAGCGCTACCACCACCAGCCGTCCACCACAACACGTCCGATGTCGAGCTACCTGCCACCAACTCCTCCGTCGTTACCACCCACATCGAGTGTGCGCGGTCAGCCCTCAACGGCATCATCTTATCGGCCCAGACAGACAAGGAGGCGTTAGGTGCAGACAAGGTACGTTATGCAGGCAGATTACGACATTTTTTCAAACAATGGTCGCTCATCACCGAGGACCAATCAGTACTCTCATGGATTCATGGTTATGAGATTCCGTTTGATAAACGGGTTTTTCAGCAAAACCCACCAATCACAGATATCGGTTCTTGTTTAGAAAAACGGCATTATCTTGAATCAATTCAACATTTACTTTCAATTGGAGCTATCTCCGCCTGTGCACCTTGTAATGATCAATATGTTTCACGGGTTTTTTTAGTACCTAAACCTAATGGAAAGCTGAGATTCATTCTAAATTTAAAAAACTTAAATAGATTTATTAGGGTTAATCACTTCAAATTAGAGGACTTGCGAACAGTTCTAAAATTAATCTCAAGAAATTGTTTCATGACAACCCTAGACCTTAAAGATGCATACTTTTTAATTAACATTCACCCTAATTCAAAGAAATATTTGAGGTTCATTATTATGGATAAAAATGATCTAAACAGTAAACAAATGTATGAATTTAATGTTTTACCATTTGGGTTGAGTACAGCCCCTTATGTTTTCACAAAACTTATGAAGCCTGTAGTAAAATTATTAAGATCTTGTGGATACTTATCGTCGATATATCTCGACGATTTATTTTTAACCGAATCGACATATTCGGAGTGTTTAGAAAATGTTAATGCTACAAAAGGGTTATTACAATCTTTAGGTTTTTTGATAAATAAAGAAAAAAGTAATTCGATTCCATCCATGCATAGCAAATATTTAGGTTTTGAAATTGATTCATATAAATGGCATATATCTTTACCTCGAGAAAAACGAAATAGAATTATAAAAGATATTTTAGAAATAAAACAATTGCAAAAATGCAAAATTCGCAAGTTTGCACAATTAATAGGATTGTTAGTTTCTTCTTGTCCAGCAATCGAATATGGATGGTTATATACTAAAGAACTTGAACGTTGGAAATACTTAAACTTAAAGGGGCATGATGATTATGACAGAAATATGATTATTCCTTTTTCCTTACACTCTGATTTAGAATGGTGGTTAAATATGGTAAAGGATGGTGTAAAAAAGATAAAGAATGATAATTATACCATAGAAATTTATTCTGATGCATCAACAACGGGATGGGGAGCGGCTTGTAATGGCCAAACTGCTAGTGGCCGGTGGTCAGAATCGGAACAACTTTTACATATTAATTACTTAGAATTATTAGCTGCATTTTTTGCTTTAAAAGTATTCGCTAAATACTGTTCAGACTGTCAAATACTCCTACGTGTCGATAACACTACCGCCGTGAGCTATATAAATCGTATGGGTGGGATACAATACCCTAATCTTAATAGCATAACGAGAAATATTTGGCAGTGGTGTGAATGTCGCTGTATAACCTTAAACGCTGCGTATATTAAATCATCCGAAAATGTTATTGCTGACCGCGAATCGAGACGTTCACATCCCGATATTGAATGGGAACTTACTGTGACAGGTTTTGATCAAATAACAAAAAATCTTGGTTACCCTCAAATTGATTTATTTGCAAATAGACTTAATAAAAAATGTGAAGTTTATGCTTCATGGAATCGCGACCCAGATGCATACGCCATTGATGCCTTTACTTTTACGTGGGCCAACTGCTTCTTTTACGCCTTTCCACCAGTTGCAATAATTTTAAAAACCCTGAGAAAGATTATATCAGATGACGGTACAGGCATCATGGTAGTACCAACGTGGCCCACACAACCATGGTATCCACTATTTCGCCGCCTAGTTGTGTCAAAAGTAGTACAATTACGTCCGCAACATTTCACTGTGTCTCATTCCAGAAGCATACATCACAACCTTACCCTGGAGGCCGCGATCTTATCCGCACGGGGCTCCTGCTAAGAAAGGTACCATTAGAGTCTGTTGAGATAATGTTAGCATCTCTATCAAATAATACCATGAAACAATACGATTCATGCTTACGAAAATGGTATAATTATTGTACAGAAAACGATATTGATATGTATAACCCACCCGTTCCATCAATAATCAGATTTCTTACGAATACATTCAATACCGGTAGTCAATATCAAACAATAAATTGTTATAGATCGGCAATATCAATTTTAACCGGACCAATAGAAGATGATTTGATTAAAAGATTTTGTAAGGGCGTATACAAACTAAGACCTTCCTTACCCCGATACAATATAACTTGGGATGTAAATATTTTATTAAATTATTTGTCCACAATGTACCCTCACAATGAAATATCCTTAGAAAGATTATCAAAGAAATGTGTTACACTTATAGGCATCGTCACTGCACATAGAGTACAAACATTGTCAAAAATTAAAATTAATAATATAATTTATTTAAAGGATCAACTAATCATAAAAATTCCAGAATTAATTAAAACTTCTAAAGCTGGATGTCTTCAACCAGCTTTACACTTACCTTATTTTAAAAACAAAGTTTCTATATGCCCTGCAGCCACGTTAACTTCGTATGTGAATGTAACTAAAGACATAAGAGATTCTAACAATAACCTATTTATAAGTTTTAGAACTCCTCACAAGTCTGTTTCCTCTCAAACAATCAGCAGATGGATTAAATCCACTATGAAAGACAGTGGAATTGACGTATCCATTTTTTCTGCTCATAGCACCCGCCATGCAGCAACATCATCTGCCTACCACAACGGGGTTAACATAGACTTAATAAGAAAAACAGCAGGTTGGAGCGGCAATTCCAGTGTCTTTGCAAAGCATTATAATCAACCTATTTTAAGTAACAATGATTTTTCTGCTCTAGCAAGAACTATGGATTTATAACAATTTGCTCTTAATTGAATAATGATTATAGAAGAAAGTAAAAATAATTTATACTTGCGTTGGAATTATATAAAGTGCAATAAATCATTATATACTTATAAAGTTACCTTATTCATTATAATAAATAAATATTTCCTATCTCTCAATATCTACATAGTGTTTATAATTACAAAAATTATAAGTAAGTATACTAATCTCGAGGACGAGGCACGAGTATAATTGATGATTAAACGAACTTACCTAAGTGAAGTTCGATCATAATTATACGAAGTGCCTCGTCCGAAGAGATTAGTATGCAATCCCTCCCTCCCAACACACTATTTGCTTCAAATAGTTCCCCCTAACTAGGGAAATATTTATTTTCTCTCAACTAAATGAGGGCACTGGGGTTGTCAGTTGGCGGGTGGGGTGGCTTTGGCGGGAAGTCAATGTTACCAACTATAAAAAATAATAATAATAATAATAAAAATAAAAAAAAATTGCATTTAACCGGAAGTTAAAGAATAGACAGTCATTTTCAGTCTAATATATATATTTAGACGGTAAATGACACAATCTCCTGAACATAGTGCTGAATGTGGCAACACTTAGGCGTTACTACATAGTGTTTATAATTACAAAAAATAATAAGTAAGTATACTTATCTCTTCGGACGAGGCACTTCGTATAATTATGATCGAACTTCACTTAGGTAAGTTCGTTTAATCATCAAAAAGTACATACTGCTTGGACAAACTTGATTAATTAAAAACTGTTCATAATAAATTCTTTATCCATTTTAAAAACTGAAGTGAAAAAAGGTAATCATATATTATAAAAAAAAGAAATGATATAATAAAAATATATTTGAGTAAGAAACCTATATAATTTTTGCATTGGAATCAACTCCGCTGCACTATCAGCATTGAAATTCAGTAAAAAAAACCAAACAAATAACATAGGAAAAACCAACAGCTTCAAGAAAATTAAATTAATAAAATGAAACACTTGGCTGTATAAACTAAGATTCCTTTGCTATAAAAGAAAATTGAGACACTCATAATTGACAGTTGACTTGACATTGGTATTGAAACTTTTTATAGGAAAAATAAGGAGACAGATCCGTCGTCATCTTTCATTCATTTCATTTTCATTTTACATGTAGAAACTAATTTATTTACTTGACATTGGCAGAATTGTGCGAAATGCGCAGATAAGCCATTAATAAAAGAAGAAGAAGAAAAAGAACTTTTTATAGTAAAACAAAAACAGGATATGTGTTCATCGCCATCTTTCATTAATTTCATTTTCATTTTACATGTAAAAATTTACTTATTCGCTTGACATTAGCAGAATTGTGCCGAATGCGCAAATAAGACATTAATAAAAGAAAAGAAAGAAAGTAAAACAAAAACAATAAAGTAACCCGCAATTAATGTAAAATGTAAATCTTTGAGTACCGAGCAAAAAGTCGGTTGTAGAATGCATCTATAAAATAAATCACGCATTTAAAACCTATAAATATATTATCATCTACACAAACATGATGACGCATCTACCGATCCGGTTGCATCAAGTAGCGTCACCGCAAACTGAGCAAACTATAGCTATTTCTTTTCAACAGCCGGGCTCCGGCTATATTGATAGTGAAATAACAATCGATAATTGTTACAGTTCAGTAGTATGTCTTGCAGTGGGGCTCACAATAGACGCATTTACATGCAAAAATTACAAAGATTTTTTATAAATTATTCTTTACTTCTGTATCAAAGTGAAGATTATACACTTCTACGATTGAGTGAAGACATTACTAGAATTGCCTCATTAGTGTGCATAACAGAGATAACCTTGGAATTTAAACGTAAGATGATTTTATATTTGTATATTTGAAATCTGGGTGCTATTTAATCATGCCGATAAATACAGTCAATTGTGTCTAAAGTTTGCTCCGGGTACACTTGTTGAAGGTGCTAAGATCTTATCTTTAGTTGAAATGATGAATCGGAATTGAGAGTTTTAGCACCCGATTCGAATATCCGTAAAAACTATTTTTTTATTGCCCGTCCATAACGCATATACTGGAGTAAACACGTATGATAAGGATGACGAACAAAGGCAGCTTTAATTAGCGATTTTGTACTGAGAGAGTAACTCTAGGCAGAGTCGAATATAGCTAACAATCCAGAAACTGTTAATAATTGGCTAATATATTTATGATTTTATTTGTAGATGGATCAACTAAGACAGCCTAAATTCCATGTGATTGAGTTGTTAGAACCTCCATATGCAGACTATGATAAGTATATTTGCGTTCCAAGTTCTTGGATCAGACTACGCGAAACGGACGATGGTGTAGTTCTCGTCAAATTTCCAACGGAAAAGTTATCAAAAACGAAGAAACGTGTGAAGAAAGAAGAAAATTTTTCAAATGACTGGTCAATTTTCATGGCAGAAGTAAAATATAGCACAGGTGAATGATTGTTGTTTTATTATTTATTTACTTATTGTGGGGCATTCTAATCAAATGAATACGAAAAACAAATCTGTTCATAGAACTGTATTGTACTGCTCCAGTAACTGTGCGCACTCTTCGATCTATTTTGGAGTTACTGCGACTGTCTATTAACAGGCTCGGTAGAGTCTGGCGCTAAGTTCTCGCCAACCGAGTCTCTATAGGGATCGTGCACTAACTAAAGAGGCAGCACCACTGCCGAAAACCACGCGCCCTGGTGGTGGAATTTATACAAAAAAAAATATTGCTAATTGTTAATGGAATAACAATGGAATATAGAAAAAAATAACGAAATAAATTTCTTAACAAGTAGCATTTAAAGCGGAAACGACGCACAATGTAAAAAAAAATCGAGTATTTATCGGATTAAGTGGAAGAAAAATATTTTATTACTCTAAAAAACATCACCACTAAGTTAAATTCCACTCAATTAGCGTTCCTGTCAATATTATTTGTTTACGACGCGCCCCAACTAGTCAGAGAAAAATACAAATTTTTTATTATTTATTTCGGAATTTAAAAAAAAATATTCAGAAAATAAAAAAAAAAATAGTATATGGAAAACAAAACATGAGCGCTTAAGGCATGCTCATTTGGATTTTCCAAACTTTTTTTTTAATCTTTTTGCGCATCAAATCTTCAACAATACTTTTATATACTAACAGAGTTTTCTATACGTCGGTATAACAGCTTAAAAATGATTTTTTCATGAAGCAACTTTTGCAATACGTTTTAAGGCATTTATCTCATACAATAATAAAAAAAAATTTCTGCAACTGTAAGAAATGAAGAGAACGCGGTAAAATTGTGATGTGGTCTACCTATTTTCATATTTGTATGACTACAACAAAATGAATTCATCAAGATAAGCATGTCACGTATGAAAAAATTTGGGGTAGTCAATGATGCACGCTAAGTACGCTCAAAATTTTTTTTTTCGAATATCGAGCTTTCAAAAAAAATTTTTTCGTTTATTAAAAAAAAACTACAACGGTACTTGGAATTTTTGTTATTTCATGTCTTCTTGTAAATTACAAAATTTTTGATATTGTTTTACATCATTATATGAACGTGGACTTGGCGCGAATTTATACAGCGTAGCTATTTTTGTTCTGATTTCACATCTTTTTGTAAAGAATATTGTTATTAACTAAATCAAAAATTCTCCTTCAAGACGTTTCGTGTAGGCACGAACATAATTATGGCTTTGCCACGGTCCAGTATGCCTTGATAAATGAATGAAATCTATACTATACTACCGAGCTTTTTTTTCTTCCAAGAATCAGTATTTAAACGTTACGATTGGCATCTTGTGTGTGCCATCTGCAATTTTAGATTTTAAGTAGGTAGAACAACCTTAACTGTAGAAGAGTAAGCTGTAGATTGCGTAAGCGGCTTAAAAACCCTGACATGCAAGTAGTAGAAAAGGGGAATAATAAGTATAATAATTCCCTACCTTCCCTTGTAAAACACTAGCCAAGTGATACAAGTAAAGCCCTATTTTCTTTCTATATCTTTTTACAGATTCCTACAAAGACGCGAAAGAATATATCAAGATACTTGACAAAATATTGATTCAGGGACAAAGGCGTTCAAAAGGAATCAGAGAAAGTATGTATATAAGTTTGTTGAAGCAATTACAGATATTTTTAGAAAGATTGAAGAGAATCAATCTTATTGGTAATTATGTCAAAAAACGTCCGCATTATCTGTAATCACGATAACTAAAAAAATAATAAAAGCTAAAAGTTTGTCAGTGGATGCTCCCAACACAGGTAAGAACGATGGACCGTTATGGAGTTCGGGTTATAGTGGCTTTGGCAGGTAAACGGTACTAACGGTATGTAAAATACCGATCTTAATACGTCAAATAATAAAGTGCAATCTTTCGGTATTACCTTCAGAATATTATTAAAAATCACGTTATTCATTGCCAGACTCTTAACATAGTGGCAACCCCTTGCCAGACACCCTTAATGTTCATGAAATTATAATTTTACTTACGTTATAGTATAAAAACTGTTTTTTATATATAATATAATTAGGTAATAAGTAGATAATGTTTCCTCATTAGCCAGACACATGAAGGGTATCTGTAGGAGAGCGCGAGGTAAAATGCATATGAGTTTTGTGCGAGTGAGATGGCGAGTTAAGTCTACCGCGGCTCCTCACTGCGCAGTTGTTGCAAGAAATACATCTAAAGTTGCATAAATTATCTTTGGACTCAACGACGAAACGATTGAGGAATAAATTAAACAGTTTTGGTATTTTTACTGCCGTGTTTGGTGGGTAAAATTGCCGTGTTTTGAAAGATACGAACAACAAAATAAAACATGTTTTATTTTTAATTTTATTTTATAATTTTGATTATTTAATGAGGAAGTATTAAAAAAAAAAAAGAAATCACAACAAAAGCATCTTTACTAGATGGCGACTCTAGCAAAAGTTGATTTTTGCAGGAAACGAATGGGCCAAATATAGTCATTTCTGTTCTTTTTAACAAACATATTAAAAAACTGAAATTTGCAAAATTCGAAACTTAGATATCAATCCAAATACGGAAAAGTACAAATAGAATACGAGTTGTTTATTGAGTTTTGAAAGCTAATTTACTTTCATACATGAAAGAAAATCGGAAGAGTTGTCATGGCGACATCAAGAAAGTACCGTAGCGACATCTAATTTGATTTCAGGAACTAATGTTTTTCTTTTAAATACCTCCTCATTATTAAAAAAATATATTAAATAAGAATCAAAAAACATAAGTTAGCCTAATAAATTTAAAACTTCCCCCGAGTTCTCAGTCAGAGATTAGGACTTTCCTCTGAGTAGTTTTAATGAGAACTTAGTTCATAATCAAAATTATTTAATATAATATAAGAATGAAACATGATTTATTTGCTTTTTTACTTTCTAGCTTAGCACTAGGAGCAAGGTCCTAAGGCAGCATTACCGTAGATTTTACTAAGTCAATAGCTAATGCTATAGTTTTTATTTAAATTGTGTCAGATTTTTGAACACATTGCAAATACCACATCAATAGCAACGCTGAAATGAAACACTATCCAAAATATTAAACTTTGTAAGTAAATGGTAATTTATGGATTTTTCTGAAACATTATTATTCTTTTTATTTTCATTGAAATGTTAATGTATTTCCAGGGTTTTTCTTAAAAATATATTTTATTAACGTATTCGACTGAAGAAACTCAGAAGTATATACTTTGTATTGAGGCCACGGTAATAAAAAAGTGAAAATTGAAAAACTACAGACTAATACTTCCAAAGATTTATTAAATTTAGGCATAGAAGCTAAATTAGAACTGTAAATAAGGCTTATCAAGCAATACTCGATGCCGGCAATTTTTATGAGTACTTTCGAGTACTTACCGTGCTATAGTATCGAGTACTCAGTATCGAGTATCGCTTTTGACAGTATCGATACCTACTAGGAATCGAAAGTATCGCTCGAACCCTACATATGCATACTGCCTCGCGCTCTCCTACAGGTATCATATAATATAAGAATGAAACATGATTTATTTGCTTTTTTATTTTCTAACTTAGCACTAGGAGCAAGGTCCTAAGGCAGCATTACCGTAGATTTTTCTAAGTCAATAGCTAATGCTATAGTTTTCATTTAAATTGTGTCAGATTTTATAAGACATTGCAAATGCCACATCAATAGCAACGCTGAAATGAAACACTATCCAAAATATTAAACTTTGTAAGTAAATGGTAATTTATGGATTTTTCTGAAACATTATTATTGTTTTTATTTTCATTGAAATGTTAATGTATTTCCAGGGTTTTTCTTAAAAATATATTTTATTAACGTATTCGACTGAAGAAACTCAGAAGTATATACTTTGTATTGAGGCCACGGTAATAAAAAAGTGAAAATTGAAAAACTACAGACTAATACTTCCAAAGATTTATTAAATTTAGGCATAGAAGCTAAATTAGAACTGTAAATAAGGCTTATCAAGCAATACTCGATGCCGGCAATTTTTATGAGTACTTTCGAGTACTTACCGTGCTATAGTATCGAGTACTCAGTATCGAGTATCGCTTTTGACAGTATCGATACCTACTAGGAATCGAAAGTATCGCTCGAACCCTACATATGCATACTGCCTCGCGCTCTCCTACAGGTACCCTACATGCTTGTCTGACAAATGGTTGGAACTAACAAAAGTGTCTGGCTAATGAGGAAACATCATCTACTTATTACCTAAGTATTATATATAAAAATCAGCTTTTATACTATAACGTAAGTAAAATTATACTTTTATGAACATTAAGGGTGTTTGGCAAGGGGTTGCCACTATGTGATTTTTAATAATATTCTGAAGGTAATACCGAAAGATTGCACTTTATTATTTGATGATAGATAGTATTTGATAGTATTTTACACACCTTTAGTACGGTTTACCTGCCAAAGCCACTATAACCCAAACTCCATAATGGTCCATCGTTCTTACCTGTGTTGGGAGCATCCGCTGACAAACTTTCAGCTTTTATAAAATAACGTAGGTCTGGGGTTCACGGGCTCTTGCTCTATAACCATTCAATCTAAATAATTCGTGAATAACATGAGCGCTTAAGGCATGCTCGTTTGCATTTTCCAAACTTTATTTTATAATATTTTGGTATTGTATGCGATAACCAGTGAAGTAAACCAATTGGTTAATAATTGATGCTTATAACGGGGCGATAATTATTCGGCAACAATATTGTCAAAAAACTCTGGGTTATGTCCGTAGAAAAAGTATAAAGCCGGTAGCTGAGTAATCCTTAATTATTGTCTAAAACTTTTTTTATGGTATCGTCACACAAACATGACTCATTATATCGCTTGTTCCGCGCTCTCACTTGCACGCACAGCTTACATATCTGTTGTAATACAGGATCGTATGGTTGTGGCGGTCTGGCTACCTCGGTCACGCCGCCACCTAGCAATATTGTGAACTGGCATCTGTAAATAATGTTTGTTAGTACATTTTTCATATTAGTGATTACATGAATATATAAATCACTGTTATGAAACATTAACTTATGGGTTTCCAAATAATAAGATCATTTTTTCAATTTACAATTTTTTTTAAATTTTTACAAAACTTATACTTCTACTTATTGTTAATTTATTTGTCAAGTAGATTGTATGTTTACTAATTTGCAAAATATTATATTACAGATAGAGCACCTACACCTGACAGCGAAATTCTCGATTTACTAACAGAATCAAATACGAACGGAAATTGTGAAGCTTTAGGTCTACCGAACAATGACCCAAAACAAATGAACAATCAAGCTACATCACAGCTATTGAAAATTAGTACTTCCGAGTTGGGAGAGCGCCAAGAAATAACTAAAATAGTTGACCTCGCAGATTCTACAGACAAGACTGAAAGATACTTGACAAGACAGTCACTTAGACAGTCTGCACCAACCAACAATTATAAATTACTAAATCAAATTAAAAAGCTTACTTTAGAGGAGACTAACAAAAGTGTTCAAAAAAGTGATAACGTTGAAAATCACAAAGAGAAGACACCACTGATAAAGACGCCTCCAGAGCTAACAAATGAATCAGGGGTTTTATCTGCTCTACAATCACTCTTGGGTGATAACTATAAAGAAATATTAGAGCATCTGCATTCTGAATTCGAAAATAACCTAAAAATATTAAACAACTTAGAGCACATTTTTCTCAAAAACTGTGTATTATTAAAAAATTTGATTGATATAGTAGATCAAGTCCATGATGGTGATCAAAATGATCATAATGTTGCAATTAAAAAATTAAAAAAGCATATGACAGAGGAAGTGAATACGAAAACAAATAATGAAAAAAGAACTGGATCGGAAGTAAAAAATTGTGATAAAAATGTACCAGGTGGCGATGAAAATAAAGGAAATAAAAATAGTAATTCAATGAATAAAATTCATGGTCAAGCACGCGAGTTCATTTTACCTCCAGAGTATGATCCAAATGACTCACAATGGTCGCTTAAGCATCGCAAAAAGACGAAAGATCTCGTTGAACTTATACCTCAATCAGGTGTCTACGTAAACGCTATTAAACTGAAACATTGTCTCAGGATGTCAAAGGACAGTAAAACCCTTGCACGGATGTTATTGGTAGAAGTTTTCAGCGAGAGCGCACTAAGTGTATGTTCATTGACTGGGAAAAAAGCCAATGTATTCGATTTAGAAGGTACAAGCATAAGACCTGGGCTGGATGAACATGCAAGAACTGTTTTATTAAACTACGTGGAGCAATACGCTTTTGAGAATAATTGGGTTAAATTAGATATACACACTATTTCGAACAGCCTTCGTAATAAAATGCAAGAAATGAGAGCTAAGAAAGATAAAAAACTTCGGGATGTCTAGTCTGATACAAAAGTTTAAGTAACTCATGATAAGGTGAAAATTACAAAATGGAGTAACTTTTGACTTCAAAAAATATCTAAAATCATTGACGAATAATTTTGTTCATAAAAATAATTAATAATTGTAATTTTTGAATTAATAAGTTAATAAAAGCATTTAAATAACTATTGAACTTTTTGGTTAGTGAATAATAAACAAGCGTGCAATTATTAACAGAAATATATTAATGGAAATGATATTGTGTACTTTATTTTCCTTATCCACGTTTTCCTCTGACATACCAAATTACCGCAAATAGTTTTAAACTATTGCAGATAAAATTAATGTTAATAATTATTGACTGTTTTCCGTATAACTTGTCTACACGGAGAGAACAAGATAGTACTCAGTGACATCTGTAAGAAAAATCGGTATTTTTTTATTGCAATCCAAATGACATTATTAATCAATTACTAATAATCAAAAGCACTCATAGCGCGCACCATTGATAACAATAATGATTGATGGAAAATTCCGAATGGAAAATGATACAGTTAGTCCGGTTGGCTCGTAAATAAAAATATAAAGTTTCCAAAGTCTATATTATATTGTATCAGTAAATATCAGGCTTACAATTAACCACATATTATGGTTTGTTGTTTACGCTTATTAATTAACTTAACCTTGCACTTTGTTATGGGCAAAAATCGACACAAACAAGAAACTATTTATAAATGATTGGACTGCTGAACTCGTCTTACCGCTTTTTGTTTTTTTTTTCTTTTTTTTTGGCATCGAAAAGTCATGTAAAATAACAATAATTTCACAAACAGTAATGACTAAAAAGACCTACAGTGTCCAAGTTTAGTACAAACAAAGTGTTTTCATGTTTAAACGTGATCAGACAAATATTCATGCAGTAATAAAAAAAATGCAAGTGATTACAACAAAAATCAAATCAGAGAAGACCATAATTATTTTTTACTTTAGGTTAAATTTCTTATAAGTTCTTTTTTAATATTCTTCAGAGATGTGTTAAAGAAATCTATGTTTGACAGTTTCTTATTATACATAGTGGTGGAACGATAAAATAATGCGTTTCGGGTATAATTTTTCCTGCAACGCGGAGGAGCAAACAGAGGTAGTGTACGTGAGGAGCGTATAGGGAGACGAGTTCAAGTAAGGTCTTTGTTTCATTTTAAATGACATTATTGTTCTAAACTGAACAACGAAATGAGATAGCGCTCAAACCAAATCAATATTCGAACTGAGGTGCCTCAGTTTTGTGATCGATCTAAGCATAAGCGGACTTATATAATATCTATAATAAAGTTTTTAATTTTCGCTTTTATTCAAGTGATATTTGCTAGTAACAGACTAGCAGGTAAATCAAATAAATATGGCACCAACATCCAGTTCAATGTTAATCAAATTTGTTTTCAAACGCTCGAAACAAATCGGCAGATCGAGAAATCGAGTTTTTTAAGTACATCAAGAAATCAACAACGTCATTCTTCTGAAGACAGAGAAATGCTAATACGGTTGAATGATCTTGTGGAAAAAATTAAGAAAATAACAACGCACTGTAATGTAATGTTCCAGCAACTTGACCAAGACTATACACGAATCTCAACAATCACTGATAATATAATTAAGGTTTTAATAAATGGAAACCTTTTGTAGAGATCAATGGTCATCGATAAATTTAAGTTTGTATAAGTGATTGTTAATGTGAACAATTATTGTTAATTAGATGCCTATCAATTTGTCTCATGTTATTGATTATATTAGTAGAATAAGCAGAAAATATACTAAAAATCAATAGGAAAATTAATTATCTGCTAAGTGTAATAATTAGTGTATGACATGAGCGCTTAAGGCAAGCTCATTTGGATTTTCCAAACTTTTCACTTTATTTGTAGTCTTTTTTCTCTCCATACATATTTAAGAATTATTCTTTATTATGTTCGTATACCAACAATAAAATGGTGAAGAAATTTATGAGCTAATTATTAAATAAACATTATTAATTTTGACCTTAAATGATAGGATTACATACACTTAGTCTGTTTACTCTAACAATATAATTATATTGTCGAAAATCGAAAGTATAATAAGGAAGAAATCTACTTAACATCAATAGGAAAATTAATTATCTGCTAAGTGCATGACATTTAAACTTTATGGACCAATAATACCAATAATATTGGTTATCCATGATGGGGGTGGTTCTACGTAAGGGTTGAAAATGAAAAAAAAAAAATTATCGAGCGCGTCAGATTTTTTGAGGGGATGTCAAGTGAACCTAAGAAAAGCTCTCATATAATAATCTGACGATTTGGATGTGACGCAAACGCATGACCATTATTAGAATGTGCAAAAAAAATCGCCATTTTGAAATACTCAAGCGCGTCAGTGTATATGGTTCATCTTTATGCCCTAGACGTGATATCTCATAATCTGACGATTATCTGAAGGGATATTTTTTTAGATAGAATACTTATATTTAATACTTACAAACAATATCACGCCACGAACGAATCTGTGTCAACAGCTGTCATGGCGTCATGGCAACCGAAACCAGAGTGGGGACGGAGTGAGAGAGTAATAGATAGAAAAAGAGTGAGAGAGACATAGTGATGCGGAGAAGGAAATATAGGTATTACGTAGCTGCACGCATTAAACCTTATCGATGAATTTTTATTACTTCGGCTTGTGAAAATCGTCAGATTATATATTTTTCGTAATACATGAATGACGCACTTCAAAATTAAAAAAAATTAGCCACGCTCGAGAATATCAAAGTGACGTTTTTTTTACAACTTTGTAGCCTTCCCCCTTCTTTACGTCACTCTCAAATTGTCAGATTAGAGGTATGTACACATTTTAGCATGTAACTAGCTCACCTTACCTTAATCTGACGCGCTCGAGATTTTCAGATGATCAATTTTTTAATCTTATCTGATCCTTCGTCCTTGCCGGACGGCCATTTATATAGGGCTCATACTTGGTCCAGGTACTTAACTGGGTACAAGGTATCCCCCTGTATATTCCCGAATAAATATAAATCCCGAAATCCACGCTTGGGTTCCCCTACTATAAACAACGTCACGCTGAATGTCAACCTCCATTTGAGATGTAAAGGGAAAATGGCGAACGAAAACATTCCAGTTAAAAAAAAAACAATTACAGCTAAATAGTATTAAATTACGCTTGATTTTCAATACACTTATTGCCAGTTTATTAGTAATGAAATTAATAAACAAATTAAGATCAACAGTTAAGTAATTTCCAGTTATCGTGTTTACGCACAGTGTGACTATTATTTTTAAGGCCCCAGTAGAGCATACCTACGCGCTTCGCGCTCAAGGCATGCAATTATAGAATAGATTTACTACCATGATTACATACATGTTTGCAGTCGTAACTCTCCTAATACTTGACTTGTTCAGTTCTTAGGTTTTTCACTATTTTTGATTTTTCTTTTTCCATATATGACCTGTGTAAAAGTCAAATAAAGAAAACCCAGTCAAGTGATTAATACGGTCAACTTTAGGAAGGTCAAATATAACCTAGAATTTACAATATGAACTTTATGCAAATAAAGTAGTGATGGATTATTCTCATTTAGTGAATTCCACTAATTCCTAAATAACATATAAGGATTATATAAGTAATAAGTTAGTTATTAGTTTATCTATAAGTTTTATAGGTTTTTCAATAATGAACAAAATTTTACACCAGTATGTTGAATACTCCAAGCGTCACATACTCATTCACTCTCAGCTCATCTCATACACTCTAATATTCTGTGAGTATACTTAGTGCTTTGTGTGTAATGAAAATCGGTCATAAAGTTTCGTCTTTCCGGTAGTGAAACTGTCACGAAGAATAATCAATGATGGAAACTAATTTGTAGTCTACAACAGCCAATGTCTTCTAAATTTCGACTTCGAAAATGTTCCTGGCAACGGGGCACGTTTTTTTTTATTTTTACACCGACACTAGACGCTAGAAGACAGATCGACTCTCTTTCTTATCTCTTCTACTTTATTCTACTTATACGCGATCTGACGTATTCAACTCTCGCATATAGGTGCTTTGGCTCCTTAATTTGTGATCTGTCAGAGCAATGTATCTGAGGTTGTCTAACATTTTTTTTTTATGTTTGCTGTTTCTATGGTATACAATAAAGATTATTATTAATCTTAGATGTTAACTTAAATTGCAATTTTCTCAACACACTTCATAAGAAGTTAATGATTGCATTTAAAGTACTCGTTCTCTTTTTTTCAGATCAATAAAATTATTCAATTTTTAAAACTATCAATAACTCTGTTTTTCGATTTTCAGTCACATGTGTAACTCAACAGAAGTAATAATTTACAAAATTATCTTTATACGAATTTAAAAGTTTGACAAAACGGATTTTTTAAGTATTTTCAATAAGATATTTTTCAGTATAGCACTGTTAATGCAAAATTGATCAAATATGATAAATATACGTTTTATGTTGTCAAACATTTACAATTATATATTAAAAATACAATGGAAGAGGCTGGTTAAATAATAAAGGATTATAATAAATATTCTAAGCTAAAAACAGCAAGCGCTTTGTTAACAGAATAAGCAAAGAGGAATCTTTAATTGCCCTATTGGCATATGGCGGCAGAATAAAATTAAAAATTATAATTTCAACTGTGCTATTTCCGCGTAAATGGAGGTCTCTTAATATCCTCAGCGCCGAATAATTTGAATCGTTTCTAGGTCGGGGTTCATTTAAATATAAATGTTCTGACAACAGAAAATATGGCAAGTTATTTGAAAAAAATATACTTAAGATTTGATGACTTGTTTAATATAATAGGGGCTGCTATGGAAACAGAATAAATATTTATATGTAAATATAATCAGTTTATAGATTTAATTTAGAAAGAGCTGCGCCTCTTATAATAATATTTAGAAAATCGCCGAACAGGAACAATCTTTGGACTTTTAAAGAACACACAAATATTTTAATGGGATGAAGAATATTAATTAATACTAGTGGTCGCCCAGTGGTCGAAATTTGACAAAAATAAATTTCAATTAGAAGTTATTTAACATAATTTATTAAAAGATAATGTTTAAACATTATTAAGGTTCTATTGCCAAAGACTATATTACTACCTACTATAACCACAGATTTCGCCAACGCTGAAAAAGATTTGTTTAGCCTCCACAATAAAAAATACAAAATATCTTTGAACCA